TGTATTTATAATATTAATATAATATAGTGGCAAATACTAGAATGTAGTTTAGATTCATTAAAAAATCCAATCTTTGGTCTTTTATACTCGAGATCTTTTTCCAAAGTGCAAGGCCTACACAAAACCATCACTGCTTTATTGTAGACTGAATACAAATGTACATTAATGAAAAGTATGAAGTTTAAGGATAAATAACACAAACTTTTTTTCAAAAATCAGCAACTTTTCTTATTGATTAATATTCAATTAGGTAACCTGAATGATATTTTCCAGGTAAAGTGGGAGAATTTTGTAAGATTTTGTCACAATGTCAAAAATATGTGCAAGATTTTGTATAGAATTACATAGAAAACGAAACAAAGTCACATATCTAAGCACCAAAAACTTAGGATTTTTTTATATTTCAGGGAATGATTAAATATGTCATCTCCATTCAAAATCAGTCAAAATATATATCTCAATCCATGCATCAAATTTGTGTTTGTGTTATGTATCCTTAAACTTTTTTAATTTGGTAGGAGTCTAAATTCATTTGTAACAGAGGGAGGGATGACTGGGTTAACTCATTCCCACGTCAAAAAAGAAGATTGAAATACGTGTTGCAAAATGTATTTTTAATATCTTTTACATCTCATTAGTTCAAATCCACCATAGTCATTCCGCTTATTGAACCTATCGCTGTTGATTTGTTTTTAATGTCCCTTTCGAGAAATTTTCACTCATATTGAGACGCCGCCACATGCCGCTGGAGAGCTGCGAATTTATACCTATACTTGGCACTCATGTCCATTTAGCAGTGAGGGATCTTTATCGTGCCAACGCCTGTCGTGACACAGGGCCTCGGTTTTTAAGGTCTTATCCGAAGGACCCGCAATTTTCACTACAAAGTGCCGAGCGCCTGGCGAAGGAACAGTTGCTACCTATTTTTTATCGACTTAGGTCAGTCGCGGCTGAGATTCGAACTCATGGCCTTCCGATCAAGGAGCAGACAAAAGAAATGAACTTCGTATCAGTATTATTAAATAAACATTCATCAAAAGAATTAAATATAAACGCGTATTTCTGAGGTCCCCAAGAGAAATTTCTCTCTTCTAATCTACCTCTGTGCACAATGTTTTACTATGTAAAGTAAAGTACCCTAATTTTCCTGATTTTGGTGGTTAAAAACTCTTTCCTAGCCACGAAAATATTACATAAACTGATTGCCAATGACAAAAAATTAAGTGTTCTATCATTGTCTTGAAAAATATGATTTTTGTTAGAGTAACCTGATTCTTTTTTTTAAATTTGTGAAGGAAACAGAAGAAGAAACGCATTGCGAAGGCGAAGTAGAGGGATTAAAAACTTTTGATTAAGTTTCATATTTCATCATCTGATTTACAGAAACCTGTAGGTTTAAGGGTTGAGTTGTATGCATTGGATAAGTTGCTTCGAAGCTAGTGCGTCGGAATAATTGAAAGGTTTAAAGTTTGATTCTTGGACATGATTTACACTTTAAAATCTTCATCAGATAAAGTTGAAAGTTGGAAAATTACATTGTCATTATCATGCATAACTCTGAGATTTGGGAATTAGTTCAAGAGAACAAGGTCAAGGTTAACTTATTTTTATTATCTTGATTGATTGATTGTATATTGTTTTACGTCCCATTCGAGAATTTTTCACTCATATAGAGACGTCACCATATACCGGTGAAGGGCTTCAAATTTTGACCTTTACTCGGCACTTAGGGCCATTGAGCAGTGAGGGATCTTTATCGTGCCAACGCCCGCCGCGACACGGGGCCTCGGTTTTTAAGGTCTCATCCGAAGGACCCGCAACTTTCACTTCAAAGTGCCGAGCGCATGGCGAAGGAACAGTTGCTAACTATTTTTTATCGACTTAGGTCTGTCGCGGCCGAGATTCGAACTCACGACCTCCCGATCACTGAGCGAGCGCTCTACCGACTGAGCTACCGTGAACGGTTTTTATTATCTTGAGTAACTCCTGTAGATTTGTGGGGTCATTTGTTATAGCTAAAACAGGATTAAGATAACCGAAGAGAGCATTGTGGCTCATTGGCTACTTCTTCAGCTGTAGATTTGTGTGGTCGTTTGTGATACTAAGCCAAAGACAGGATTAAGATAACCGAAGAGAGCATTGTGGCTCATGGGCTACTTCTTACGAGTTGCAAAATATAATCTTTGTTGACTATTTAAGAAACAAATCGTAATTTTGTAATTTATTCCTAAATAAATGCACACATATCCGTTATTTAATGTTACATCATTGTTCAAGAGAAAACGCTAAAAAAAATAGATTCAGTTCTTTTGGAAATAATTTTGCCAGGGAAACAGTTCGACCAAGTTTTAATAACAGGAAAAATCTAAAGACATGACAGTGGCTGAGGTGTTAGTACAATCTATTTAAGATTTTTTGCTATAGTATACCTCCAAAGTTATGGTAAAAACCTCAATTAATATTGTGAGAATAAAAGTCGGAAAACAATGAGTAAGAGATGTAAGATGTGTACCAAATAAATTATTTTAACCATTAAGTCTGGACTTGATAAGCTTCAAAATCAAATGTACCATCTCTAAATGGCTCAAACTTGTGATGAAGTATATAACAATGATCTGTCAGTTTAAAATATCTTCTGCCTATTGTGGACATTCTGATAGGTGTTATACAACTAAAGTATCCGGTGACAATCCAAGCCAGACGTCTTCAAAATAACCAAAGATGAACATGGCAGGGCGAACATTCATTGGAGAGTGGACTACAGACAAAGTACACGTCGTAAAGTTACAGATGAAGTTTATTTTAGAAAGTATTTATTGACTGTGATTCAGAAATGTTCCCTGTTAATAACTTTGATATTCGCATTTGACAAAACTTTTGAGGTTTTTCTATCAATTCTCTTTTAAACACACCAACAAAACTCAAAGTATAACATAGGATATATATAGCTCATATCCAGCGTATCTGATTTTTTTCAGACTTTGAATGATTTCTTAGAACTCAGGCCAAGAACACACCTGATATTGCTGAAGGGGACTTTTCCAAGATTGCTAACAACATTGATAGGTTGGAAGGGGATACAAGGGCCAGCTTCAGGTTTTTCGCTAAAGACGAAGTAGTAGTAAGGGGTATAGTCTGGGGTCTGTATGGGTCAGTAAAATGAGGTCACCTTGAAAATCTGGGTCACCTTGAGGCTAATGAGGTCACCTTAAAATCTGGGTCACCTTGATAACCGGGTCAACTTGAGCCTAATGAGGTCACCTGGAGGTCACCTTAATATATAGGTAACCTTGTGGGCACCTTGATAACCGGGTCACCCTGATATATGGGTCCGTTTAAGGCCATACGTCTGGGGTCACCCATCCCATCAAGCTGTCTGGGGTCACCCCATCCCATCAAACCGTTTTGGGTCACCCATCCCATCAAAAACCGTCATATTGAAATGCATTGTACATTATGATACGATGCAAATTATCCGAAACGGTATGACGCAGTTGGTGTATTTATAAGTCAATCTATTGTTCGTCATTTCCTAATCATTTGTGCCAACTATTTTATTAATTGATAAAGGTTTTGTTTTTATTTGAATTTCATTGATAAAGAAGAAAGATAACATCAGAAGACCATTTCATATGATACATCATAATAATTTTGCATTACGTGATTTCACTTTCTTTTTCAGAGAAAACACTGATGTAGTTGATCACGATGAATCAAATGTCTTCACTTTTGATTTAAATGAGGGCGTTCCAATACCTCCAGGAAGTTTTACAAGCAGAACCCATTTAAATTTTGATTATCATTTATGGATACCTTAATACATGTATATATACTAGTATATTGTTTGATGAATAATATGAAATGTTTTGCTTTCATAGGTTGCTCTAGGGAAAGGGTCCTAATCAAAACCAAAGTATGTGACAAAAGACGACTTTATTCTAGTCGACATTCCAAAGTATGCTGGGGAGTGGCCTCAGCTCTGCCAAATTGTGCGTACTTCGAGCGACAATATAACAGTTAAGTTGTACAAGGGGGCGAAAACCACTGTCTACACCCCATGCAACAGAAAAATACCAGGGACACGTGGAAATACATAACCATGGATAGAATCAATCTCAAAGCAACAGATTTAGTCTTCAGGGTTCAAGTTAACACCTCTGAACAAAGAAGATCAGACAGGAACTGGAATCATATGAACAGTTTTAATGATTCTGTATTGGGGACGGAAATGCTGCCGCTCCGTGTACTACATGTGTATGTATTCTCTCATCTTTCAGATTTATAAATGTGTGTGAAGTGTTTTTATCGCGAAGCGGTTTCTGAAAAAGCGTAAACTGCTCCAACCCAGGTTACACCAGTAAAACTTGGGTAGCGTTTAAATAGCCGATTTCCGAGATCCTATCGTCTTTTGTGCGGAGGTAGAAAATATGCTGTTACGTGATCATTTGTTAGGCATTAAAAATGGCAGATCATCAACATCCTCATGTCAGTGCAAAAAAACCCTCCCAGAATTACGTACTATTTTTAGAGAAAGGTGTATCAATTGTTATGAATACAGAAAATACTCTTTAGTCAGGTTGGAGGAAGTTGCACTTGAACTACAGTTACTACTCATTATCGCGAAAGACGACTAAAAAGTCATGAAAATGAAACGGTGCACCATACGAAGTCTCGCTGGAGAAGAAATCGTCGCCCCAGATACATCGACCGCAAGATCTTAAAGAACTTCTTTGTCTGGAAATATGCGATGTGTTGATATATTTTCTCAGATGTTCCGGCTGGTCAGATAACAAACTGAACAAGATGTGTTTGTGAAACACTGATACCCTAGTATAGCAACTCATATCAAAGGCTAAACTTTCTCAAATACAAATCAGATATGTTGGTACCCAAAGTAAGGTCTTGTCTCGAGGAATATACCTTTGAAATATGAAAACTCTAGCAGCAACTATTGAATAGATATGGAAAAGTTTAAAGTTTTTCAAAAGTAAGAGTAGTAAGGGGGATAACGTGCAGTCAGTATACAGTCAAGATGACGTCATGGGGTTTTCCAGACCCCACCCACATAGGTCATAATTGAGGTCACAATCAAGGGGGCAGTACACAGTCAAGGGGGTAGTACACAGTCAAGGGGAGCAGTACACAGTCATGGGGGTAGTACACAGTCAAGGGGGTAGTACACAGTCAAGGGGCAGTACACAGTCATGGGGTGAGTACACAGTCAAGGGGTGAGTACACAGTCACCGACGTCACAAAAATGTTATAATAAATACCACATAAAATTACTAGATCTGTGATAACGATGGAAACTCAGAGAAAGCAGTATAAATGGAAAATTGTAGCCTGGAATGCTTTAAGAAGAAATGAGAAGAAATGGACATTACAAGAGAGTCAATGGTTTGACAAAAAAGAGGACTGCATTGCTGATTTTAAAGAAAAAATGAAAAATGGTTATGACATTGCAGACAGCTGGGGATCTGAAGAATACCTGTTGAAACGCCGAGTTATGCCGCGAAAATACTTTCCACACTCCAAATGTTAAAGATTCAACAAGGACAAATATGCCTAAAAAACTTAAATTTAATGACCATGTGCAAATTATTTTAATTCCTTATGAAGAACGGAAAGGAATCTGGATGGAGTATGCCATAGATAGGGCTCATTTTAAGAGAAGAATTCAACAAACAGAGGATGTTTTATTACCAATGCTTCTTCAGAAATTGAAAACATGTGCACTTAACAATAAAACCCAGAACCCCACCCACATAGATCATAATTGAGGTCACGATCAAGAGGGTAGTACATAGTCAGGGGCAGTATACAGTCATTGGGTGAGTGTACAGTCAAGGGTTGAGTATACAGTCAAGGGGGAGTACACAGTCAAGGGGGGAGTACACAGTCAAGGGGGAGTATACAGTCATAGACCCACGTGATTAAATCATATATAAACTTGATCGATTTGAAAGATTTTCACCAGTCCTGGGCAAGCCTTAGAGAGAATACAGGTTAACTTTTATTTTCTTCCTTGTGAGATTCTTGCTGTGAACAGAGATGGAGAATAAACATCAAAATCTTATTAAAGCAAACTACTCCATATTGGTGAAGAAGATGATGGCAATTCGAGTTGCGGAACATCTGTTTGCCTCAAACATAATTACCGACGAAATGAAGCAACAAATAGAAGCCGAGAAAACCAGTTATGACCAAAACAGAAAACTGATTAGTATCATTTTACGTCGAGGATCGAGGGCTTTTGTGGGACTCAGAATGGCATTAATGAAAGCCAATCAAACTGATTTATCGAGACTCTTAATGAACAATGACGATGATACGAAGTCTGAATACGAAAAAAAATTAGCCCAGGCAAGATCGTTGGTCATTCCTATCAAAGAAAGACGGGAATCAAAGAAAGCTACACAACAGCAGTCTCAGGAGCCAAGATATAGAATAGGTCTGGACGACTTTAATGACCTGTTTCTCACCGTCATGCCTTTCAAAGGAACGCTTTATGTTCACATTCGTCATCTCGCAGAATCTCACGGTCGTCTCATTGCCACCAAGAAAGGAGTTACCTTTACTTTGGCTCGTTGGTTAAAATTTGAATCCCTTATACCAGATATCCAAGACTACATAGACAACGCTGGAAAAGAGGATGGAGAAGTACAGTGGCATATTGGCGGTGGCGTGTTTGTTTCGTTGTCATCAGGTTACCCTACAGTTGATATAAGACACTTTTGGAAGCCCGACGATGCCCAAGAACCCATACCGACAAAGAAAGGAGTCACTTTGAACAGAAACAAATTAGCCAGACTTAGAGATGCTCTCAATGAGATACATGAATCTGTTCCAGAACTAAAAGATACCGAACTCTGCATGTTCAGCGAGTCTCATCAGAATCAGCTTGGGATGTTAAACTGTCCTGAATGTACCCCGTTCGGTTACGATGATCAAAACAATATGTCCATTGAATGTAACGTGGGTGATTTACAGACCGTCGAATCAATTGAGAGTGATCTTGATTGACATTATGGTCATGCATACTGAATCCAAAATAATTAATGACAAGAATAATAATTATTGTATATGCCAATTTATGTATTTTTTCATTCTTACAGAAAATAAAAAAAAAATGAATTGTAAAAGTTGCCTGTTTTTTATGTTTCTTACTTGAATATAAAAGGTGAGAATCGTAGTTAGATTATCAGTGTATCACAGAATGTCAAACTACACGGATTACTTAAAGGAACTCTACTACACTCCCAGTAAACCGGGAGCATTTGCAGGTCCCGAAAAATTGTATCAAGCCGTTAAACAGGAAGGCAAATACAAGATTGGCAGGCGGAGAATAAGACAATTTTTAAACAACGAAGACCCCTATAGTCTTTATAAGCCAATTCGTAAGACATTTCCGCGCTCTAAAGTGATAGTGAACACAATCGACTCTATGTGGGATGGTGACTTAGCTGACGTCAGTAATATTTCGTCCAACAACGACGGCTACAAATTCTTATTGGTTTAATTGATATATTTAGTCGATATTTATTTATAGTCCCCTTAACAAATAAACATCATCAAAACATTATCGATGGTCTAAAATCAGTTTTTCAAACTGGAAGAAAACCACATACTCTTAGAACAGATAAAGGTAGCGAATTCAAAAATCGTTGGGTAAAGACATATCTGAAAAAAGAAGGTATTAACGTCATATACACGCAAAATGAGACCAAAGCAAACTATGCCGAGAGAGTGATCCGTACCATGAAGAACCTTATGTATCGTTATTTCATAAAAAACAGAACTTACCGATTTGTGAATGTGTTACAAGACTTGGTGAAAAGCTACAACAACAGACCTCACAGATCTTTGGGTGGTAATGCCCCAGCCACTGTCAATCAGGGGAATGCTGATGAAATAAGACTCGATGCTTATCTCTCGGAAAGAAAAACAAAATCAGACCCACTAAAAAAGAATGGTAACCTACTTAAGTCAAAGAAAACAAAGAAAAAAAGAGTAAAACCATTTTTCAAGTTAAAAGTTGGAGATAATGTCAGAATATCACAGCTTAAACACCCTTTTCAAAGAGATTACCAACAGAAATGGACCGAAGAATTTTTCAAAGTGAGTAAAAGATACAAAAGGGGTAAAATACCCGTATACAAAGTAAAAGATTTGGCAGACGATCCTATAGAAGGTACCTTCTACGAATCTGAGCTTCAAAAAGTTGTCAAGTCTGAGGATGTTGCCTATAGAGTGGAAAAGATACTGAAAAAGAGGCGTCGTGGAAAAACCAAAGAAGTGTTTGTAAAATGGGAAGGATGGCCGAAGAAATTCAATTCATGGATTCCAGAAAGCTCTCTGGAAAAGCAATAAAACGCCACTTTTTCTGCAAAATGTGTTCATTCAAGATGAGCGTTCGGATGGTGTTGAGGTCTACAGACAGCTCTGATTATTTTGACAATAAACCAAATAGCTATCGAGTTCAATTAAATAAACAGATTCAATTCGACGGATATTGGACTGTTGCCCTGACAGAATTTTCTTCAGAGAGTTGGATTTCGTCCAACAAGAAATCCGAGTTGTTTGTGTGTTGTGATATTTGTGAAGAAACTCTTATTGGTGCAAAAGAAGCACCGCTCCTAAGACGCATATACCTGGGGGAGAAACCAGGTAATATCATTTACACACTACCGTATTACATTCCAGTAAAAATCGGGCAATTGCAGCAGATCGGTATATATATAAAAGACAGAGACGGGAACTTAGTGTCATTCTTAGACGGACCGGTGACCGTAACACTTCATTTCAAGAAGTTTCCTTACGTTCTGTGATCATGAATAGTCAGACTTACATCAGTGATCCCAGAATATGGGAAGCTTTTTACAAGAACATGGCAGAGAAAAAGTTCAACCCTTATAGATACAAGCCTAAACAAATTGGGAGAGGCGTGAGAAGTTACAAGTCTTACGTCATTCCATTGAGACCTCACTCACAATTAGAACCAGTACCACAAACCAGCACTCAAATGACCCCCGTAGCTGCCGTGGAGGAAAGAGCCAAAGTCGAACATGCCAAGGATGTCAAAGAGGGCGCTCCATTCGTCAAGGTGCAAGGAAGTATAAAAAGGCCGCGTTCTCAATCTTCTGCCATTCATTCAAAGAAATCGAAGCCAACAACATCTCAAAATCCGAGGAAGCGAAAAAATTCATCTAAACCTGCAAAACAACGAAAAACGTCAGGAGAAACGAAACAGAAGTCAGTTAAGAAACAGCGAGGAGCACCAGGCAAGAAAACACAATCAAGAACAAAAAAAGAGTTTAAAATTGACAGTTACAGAAGTATCTTTAAACAGTAGAAATGGCCTTTTTAAGCAGTGATAATAAAGACATAGCTCAGCCCATGGAACTTTCTCTTTTTGCGTCTCCAACGAATCAGGTAGCCGTCGAAAAAGTGTATTTTACAGAAGCAAGACCGATTTCTAGCATAGGAGTGTCTGATACACCCATCGAAATCGTGGTATCTGGTTCGGGAGCAGAATACGTTGATTTAAAGAGAAGTAAATTGTACGTAAAAGCCCGAATTTTGAAAGCAGATGGAACGCCTTTGACCAGTAATGAAAAAACAGGCATTGTAAATTTACCCCTTCAGAGTATGTTCTCCCAGATGGATGTCTACTTGAACAACAAATTAGTTTCTTTCAATACGAACAACTATCCGTGGAAGGCTTATTTCAAGACAATTTTGTTCAGTGGGAAAGATGAACTCAATTCACAGAAACAATCAGAACTGTTCTTCAAAGACGATGGAAATCTCGGTGACGCCAATGCATACAATGGAGGGAATGCTGGACTGGTCCTGCGATATGGATACACACAGCTAAGTGCAGTCTTTGAGTTGGAAGGAAACCTGATGGAAGACATATTTGATATAGATAAATATCTGATAAACGGGGTAGACATTTACATCAAACTTTTTAGATCCAGTGCCCCGTTTGTCATCATGTCTGCTGAATCTTCACCGGCTTACAAATTAGAGTTACTGGACGTCGTGTACAAAGTGGCCAAGGTGCGAGTAGATCCTGGCGTTCTGTTGAACCACAGTAAACAGATAGAAGCAACCCCTGTGAAGTATACCATTATGCGAAATGAATTGAAAATGAATACTATCCCTAGAGGATCCACAGAGTTTTACTGGGACAACATTTTTCCTCAGGCGGTCCCTGATCGCATTGTGGTAGCTTTGGTGGACCAGAAAGCCGTCAATGGGGATTACACGGCCAATCCCTTTAACTTTGAGCATATGGGATTAACTGACATCGGGGTATACGTCAACGGCGAAAGCGTACCCGGTAGACCACTGAAAACAGACTTTTCAACGAAACTGTATTCAACAGCTTACGCTCGTTTATTTGAAGCCTCTGGAAAATGGAACAATGACGCCGGACTGATCATCACTCGCGATAATTTTGGAAGTGGATATTCGCTATTTGTTTTTACCATAGATCCTTGTGGATTTGGAGAAGAGTATTTAAATCTGATTCGTCGGGGAAACACCAGATTGGAACTGAAATTCAAACAAGCAACAACTAAAGCTGCGAATGTAATTGTATTTGCTACCTTTTCATCTCTACTGGAAGTCGACAAATCACGTGACATCAACTACATTCAGCCATGAATTCAACACAGCTGTTAAATATGGTGAAAATGGACCCCTGCCTAAGACGCTATGTGAAAGGTGTATTTGCTAGTAATACATTGCCTCAAATCGTTACACGCTATCCGAGTGCCTTCATCGTCAATACACAACCTTTACCTATGCCTGGAGAACATTGGATAACAATAATCATACGCAGTTCATCCCAAGCAGAATTTTTTGACAGCCTTGGAAAATTACCAGCTGATTACAATCACGATATTCAAAACTTTTTGAAGAAAAACAGTGTACAATGTAATTTCAAGTCTATACGACTTCAACCTCGGAATTCCGACTTGTGTGGACTTTATGTCTTGGTATTTTTGATTGCAAGATTGTGTTTCAAAAACTCGTTAAATCATGTGTATGCTTTATTTTCAAAAGACATTCAATCTAATGATGATTTTGTAAAACGTTTTCTGCATGAGTATTCTATGTATCATTAAAATAATCATGAAACATAGATACAGGAGTTATTTTTATACTGCCATTGAATAAGATTTTTAACATGTATATATGTACGAGTAGCACTACGCTGAATGTCAGTGTGAGGAAACTTGGCTACTGAGAAACATGGAAACAGAGAGCATGAATGATTGGTGGAACACTCGTTCCTTGCTTCCGTTTTCGGCACCTACCACCATTCTGATATGTGGTAGCACACAAAGCGGTAAAACGCATTTTACTAAAAAACTTTTACAAAACGCCAATGGTATGTTTTCTATGCCGGTTGATAGAATAATATATGCTTATTCTGAACATCAACCTATGTTCGAGGAAATGGAGAAGGCGATACCAAACCTTTCATTACACCAAGGGTTGCCCACGAAAGAAGACATAGAACAGTACACAGAGGGTGTAAATCACACTATAGTTGTATTGGATGATCTCATGTTACAAGTTGCGCAATCTCAAGATTGTGTGCATTTGTTCACGGTGACATCTCATCATAGAAACGTGACCACCGTGATGCTGTCCCAGAACCTATATCCTCCGGGAAAATACGCCAGGACTATTTCCCTGAATTGTCTTAATGTCATTTTGTTTAAGAATTACCGTGATTCTCGACAGATCATCACCTTTGGATCTCAGATCTTACCAGGTCAAGTTCCTTTCTTCAAAGCAGCCTATGAATCCGCGACTCGACCTAATTTCGGTTACTTACATGTTTGCCTGGAACCTACACAAAACAGAGAGTACCAGTTAAGAACTCACATTCTTCCGGGTGAAGAGATGATTATTTACCAACCTCTATAAATAAGCACGATTTGATGTATTTGTCTCATTATTCAAACATGAAGCAAACGGTGAAGAAACACGAGGCTTTCTTAAATTTTCTTGTCTGTGCAGACAGTACCCAGCAAAAAGTAATCATTAAAGCCTTGACCAGTGAACAGTACGATGTGATCAGTGAAATAGCACTTAACATTTACACCGGAACTTATCCATTGACTAAAAAGTATATAAACCAACTGAAACCTTACGAATCATGCATTCGGTCCTTGGGATCCAGAGAAGTCAGCAACAAGGAGAAACGTCGCATGCTATTGAAAAACATATCTTTAGTGCCGCTTTTACTTAAACCTATTGTTCAACGTATCAAAGGGCAATGGCGAAGGAAATGATACTTGTACCAAAAGTGAAATATGAACGTTTACTTAAAAAATTGGAACCTGTGGATACGTCATCACGAGAAAACGATCAAAGTTTGAGGCAAACCCCAGAAGATCAAGTACAATCGGACAGTGACTTAATGGATAAAACTAATTTGTTACAATCTGGAACGGGTTATGTCACTAAGAAGAAGATGAAGGTTGGGAAACCTCCTGGAATTTCCAATGTTCGCCGGAAGAAGAAACACGTTCCCTGGCTCACATATTGACAGTGTAATAACAACGAATACTAGTGTCTTGATCATTTTATTTGTGTGTATTCAATAAAACACATAGACATAAAAAAACTCGGGGTTTTTCTTACATTCAAAATCCAAATGGCAATGTGTCTAAATTAGGAAGAATTCTCCTTTTGGTATAAACCATCTTATAATTTTTAGTTTCAACCCTGTTTAACAATTTTCTCTTTCTGCTGTCTCTCGATATTTTGCAAGGGTTGACAATTTCAATTTGTCGGTCGTGTGAGGTACAGATCATCGACTTAATAGCATGGAAATTGATAAGTTTCGAGTTTACCCAGTTCAGGGTAAATCCCCTTACTTTGCATTCTTCTTTTCCCGACAGTGTGCGGTAAGCGTAATTTTTAGGACCCCCCGAAACGAATTCGACAATGTAGCCGTCTTGTGGGGAGATTTCATTGGTCAATTCACCCAGGTAATTACCTATGGGGAGATAATTCAAGTCGTCCGACTTCTTTGTCTTGAAAATGACACTGTCTGTATCGAAATACAACACGTTCTCGTTTAATTTGTCGAGAACCCCATACAATTTTAGTCGAGCCCACATGGTGGTAAACGAGGCCAAGAATATATTGGTTTTGTTATCGAATGACGCAAATAAGGGGTTGTTACTCCATTCTAATTGAAGTATGTTCGTCGAAACAATGTGAAAATTGTGGGGTACTTTTGTGGGATCCGAGAGCATTTGAAAAAATTTGTCGGCTTCCGATTCGTGAATGAATACCGACTGTTGCATACCCAATCTCTGACCAAATTTCCCCCAAAAACTATTGAGACAAAGTTTTGCTAAACATCGTAAACCGGGATTTTTTTTTATTTGATCATACTCTAATTGGATGCCCTCTTTTTCTTTATACTCCCTAATATATTTTCTTTTGGCCTCTTCCGTATCGCATTCGGCCGGAAATCCCGAAGCCTCCTGTTTGATTTTCAAAAACATGTTCACATATTGAGCGAACAATCCCCCCTCACACGACTCGACATCGTATTTGGAAGACTCGGCAAAATGATACACTTCATAAATTTTCAAGATTTTATATCCTTTGGAAGTTGCCATTTGAATTTCGGGAGTACACCACGTACCCGTGATGGATCTCTCTTCTAGAGAACATGTACATTCGCTTTGATTTTCATTGTCCGCGCACGTTTTACAAAGTGGAAACTTTAATTTTCCATTCGAATTGTATGGAAGCACGGGACGATAAAGTTTTCTAGGGGGCAGAATTTTTATTTTAGCCAGTCCAAAATATTGCGACAAGTCCTGAAAGTCGTCCGTGATGATGGTCGGATGGCCGACGGGATAGCGACAATACTTGTTGGTCCAGGGATAAAGACTGGTAAAATCGTAATACTGGATCGTTTCGTCTTCTGCGGCTTGGTAATGCAGTTTGATGGCATTAGTTCGACCACCGAAAAAACTGTCACGTGGGTCGAGTCTGTCTTGAACATCTAAGGTCGACACGAATTGTTGTAATGCTGCATTCTTCTCCAATTGAAATTTAAATTGATGCTCCCATACAAACACCAATTTGTATCCCAGCTCTTTCAGTTCCTTTTCTCTGTTTTTCGTCATGTCGTACAATTCTTTCATGGTCTGATTGGTGGACGGATGTTTGATGGTATTCCTATCGTCCGGGAAACAGGTAGGACAACCGTGGAACACACAACCTGTACCAAAATAAACAATATTAATCCTCAATACATTCGTAATTAAGTCCAGGTACGCCGCCGCCGCCCCCTCCCCCTCGTTTAGGGGGGAAAAGGGGGGGCAAAGGTTAGATAACAAGTTCTTACCATAGAATTCATAAATGGTTCCGTTTCCGTTAGTAGTCTTGACAAATCCGTCACATCTATAATTAGTCCCGGGAACTTGAAATTCACCACCGTTGAGAGCATGGGAAATGACAATGGGATTACCCCGCTGACGACTTTTTGCCATCAACCACTCCAGCCACTGGATGGAAATCTTACTGTAATTGTCGCGCTTGGTGTATCCATGAGAAGGTACTACTGCTATGGGACTGTTGAAATGGCATTTTTCTATCTGTACATTCTCGTCCTTTTTTAAATCGACGAGAGACGTCCAAGAATCATCAAGACGGACCCCTTCTAAACCCTTCTGATGACAAATATCATACAAATCTGATTTTCCATCTTTGGTAATTTCTATTTTACTTTCTGCGGACAAAAAGAGAGACTTAAATATCCCCATGCAGACGCTTGCAATGGTGATATAATCAAAGGGGTCGACTCCACCCGAACTTATTTTCTTGACGATTCCATCCGCTTGGACCGTTTCCTCTGTTAGAGTCGTCACTTTAATCACCAAGTTTCTAAATTCCAGACAACCCCGTCGCAATATATCAACATCCGAGCGACAATACTGTAACATTTCTTCTCGAAAGTTAAAGGTTTCGTGGCGTTTCGTTGCATGCCATTCGGCAAGCTTCTTTCGTTCCCCGCCCGACATAAAATCGTATCCGTAGTACTTTAA